TGGACCACACTTTGGAAATCAATAACATGGCGTAAGCAACACACGAAAGGGCAACATTATCGAGCACACAGGGATTTTCTTGTGTGTGTAACATCTCCATGGAGAGGATTTGATTCTTTGAAATGCTTCCCCCAGAGTGAGAATTCTACAACACAGCTTGATATTGCCTTGCATCACAAAGTGAAAGCATTATCTCTGGATCCCTACAAGCGATGCGGTTTACTCTCTAAAATCCTGTGGCTCTGCGACTCCACTCAAATCTTAACTGCCTATATATCTTTTTTTATATATCTTGTTTTTGTGTATTCACCGAGTTCCCCCTGCAGCAGGACTGAAACACTGGTATTGCCTGCTGAGGCTCTTCGTAATGTTTTTTTTCCCGGTTGTTTCTTCAACGTTTTATTTTCTCCATGTTTATTCCAGCCCTTTCCATAGCAGGGATCTGTTTTCATTTTTCTTTGTTAAGCTACCAATTGTATGGATCACTGTTACAAGGAAAACACCAATTTGTGTTCCATGTTGTTAGAAGATAAAATGGTATACTTGTTTTATTAGAAGATAAAATTCCACCTTTGTATGTATTCAAGCAATTTAACAAGAAAAATACAACACATTAGGGCATCAATAATGATGATCCAATAAGATACTGCGTAAAGTGATACTATAGCACATTATGCGCACTTCTACTTTTAATATTTTAGACACATTTTTCGAATACTTTTTCAATGCAGGGCTCATATATTATCTAATATATATGGATTTCACAGTACTATTATTTGTAAAGGTTTACACTACAACAACAAAAACCCACAATTGGCAGATTGACCCTAATGCAAATGTTTTGTCACGTGGACGAGTGTTCTTAGTGAAGATACAATTCAGCAGTGAACCGGACAATTGTGAGCAGAAACAGTGTTGCTACCCACTTCATCAGTGTGCGAGTGCTCAGATCTAATCCGCAGAGTAAAAATGACCTTCCTTTGACCACCTTTGTAATTACCAGATCTCATGCAGTCTAAATCTCCTTACCTCCAGTGGAGTAATTATCAGTGTGACTCTCTGAAAAGGCAATTGAGACAGTGCTTTATGGACTCCCATAGTGGAACGTGAGGCAGAGCAGTAATGGGGAGCTTGTTTGTCCCCTCTTGTTAGAGAGCGACAGCTGTGTTTAGACTCGAGCAGTGCCTTAAAAATACAGAGTGAGTCACATTGGACCATTTCATTAACTCCTGACTGCAGCTTCTTAAATTGCAGCACGCCTCAATTCCGCCAAAGAAGTTCAGCATTGCAATTAAGCATGATTTCCTGTCATGATTTAATTATATATCTGTGCTGAGTATATGAGCTGATATTTCAGAAGCAATAACTTAACAAAAGCATACAGAGTGCTTCATTTTTGTAAAGCACCTGTGTTGAAAGGTGCTTTATAAATAAACTTGCCTTGCCTTGCACACTTACTGATTTTGCATAAAAACTAAATGTATTCATACTACTCAATACATTGTCTTCAAGGTTTTCACATTATGTTCTCCTTTTTGATTCCCTTTATGTTGAATTCCTGAGAACATGAGGCAATCACATTTGTTCTTTATTCTGTATGAAGCGTACCCATTTAATATTTATTTTACACTGTAGTTAGTTTGAGATGAATCAGGAAAGTTATGTAGAGCACATCTTACAACTTCATGTCATTGGCATGCAAAGACATATCACATACTGTGCATTCGTGGTCGTTTTGAACCAATAATGTCCTGCTTGTTCCTCAAACTTCACATTTAGGTTGAGTATCAATTGTCTAAAAAGTTTGCCCTGAATCTCCCTGCACACAAACCAAAGATAATATTACTGTTCGGGAATAGGTGTTGTGCGTTGGGAGGAAAACAAGCAGTCGAATCAGCCCCAGAGAGAAAAGTGCTGTAATAGGGGGGCTGGCAGGGACTACTGAGATAGCGCTGGTAATGAGAGAGCAGGCTGCTTCCCCCCACCTTCACTCCTCAACCGCACAGGAAACAAAAATAGCATTTTGTCTGACGAATGAGCCGGCTTTGACCTAGCCTTTCGACCTCTGACAATCAGTCTCGCTTCGTCCTCCTGTTCTTCAGAAGCCGGGGCGGGACAGTCACAGATAACAGTTGATTTCTTCCGTGGCACTAAAAAGAAAAGGGAGATGGCAGACACTTTCTCAAAGCACTGAGGTTGGAGACTTCTCAGTGCTGGAGTTTCTTAGTCCCATAAGATTTGTGTTAAATGGTTAAATGGAGCATAAAAATAACACAGTTCAGCGTGCATCTGATCATTTAGCTTCACGACTTCCCTCTATGATCTGGCTCATTCCTCATTATAAACATTAGCATAGGCGAGTTGTGACAACAGTGAACGTGGGACCCCTTGCTCTAACACCCCCCTCGGGCGTCATGATCAAGTGGGAGCGCTGCTTGCACCACAGTCGGAGAACTAGTGAATATGAACAACAAAGAGACAGTGGGAGATATAATGAGCAGTGTAGGAGCCCCGGCAGCCTTTTGCCCTCTCTCCATCATAAGTGAAGCTACCACTCTCATCCTCGGCCCCGTGTCTGCTCGAGGAAGGAGCACAAACAATTAGCTGAGACAAGCCGCTTGGATTATGTGCTCAACCAAAGCAATCAGACAGCTGTGGTTAAAAGAATGAGCTTCAGAATGCCAGTTGCCCAGTTAGAGGGGAAGGGAGGGTCAGCGGCCCTGACAGTCTTAACAAGATGACAGAATTTATAAAGCACTGCTGTTAAAGAATATAGTACCTGCGGTGTAGCCCTTATAATAAGGCCACATGGGGCTTCTTCCATATTCCCTCTGTATTTGTTTTCTTTTGCCTCATATTTTTTTGTTGTACCTCTTGTTTCTCGGCGTAATGGTTAGCGCTGCAGGAAATTCTCCGATCGTCTTTGATCTTCGCCTGGTTCCGATAATTTTTTGACAGAAATCTCATTTTATACCCCCCCCCCCTCCTTTGTTTTTCTCCGTCTTTGTTCCCTCTTATACCGTCTTTAAATAGGGCTCAACATTTTGTCGTTGTGAAGTTGCAATAGGAAAAGAGCCCGGTCCTGTCAGGGGCTCGGCGCTCACTAGATAACTTGCCCGAACATTTGAAGTGAGAATTGGACTCTTGCCGTTTGCTCAGGTGATATATAATTCACGATGGGGGTTTGAGAGAGGTGTCAATGTGTCAGGAGGTAGAAGAAATGTAAAAGTGTAGTGTTTACTGGCCAAGAGACACTGGCTTTCGTTTGCCGACTTCTGCAGAGTGAGGGAAGCGGAGGATGATCTGATGTTCATCAAATGTTCATACGTGCCTGTCCTGCAGTCCAAGTGACCACACTAATCAAAGACTTGTCTGCCATGATCTTTTATCCATATTTTATGAGGCAACCATACTTAAATTATTTAAGTGCATTGATTCTGTATATATACAAGCATGTCTACGCCTTGCTTGGCTGCATTATCAATAGATGTTCACAAACACTCTTTTGTTATCCAGTCCTTTGTGTTTCAAGTTTTCATAATAGTGCATTGTTTATGTGCGTTCTCATAATGCTGTAGATAGGGTGTAGTCTTTCAACATAGTTCAAAAACATTGTACCTTTTTTGGAGTTGAAATGCTTTTTTTCTCCTTTTTTTATATCAAAATAAGATTCCAATGCTTTAGTTCTTTAACAATTATTTTTAAGTTTAATTCTCTACCAGTTTGTTGCTTTTAAGATAGTGGACTTAAAGATAATAATAATGTTCTTTTTTCCTTTCAATCCTTTTTCCATAAAATCTCTAGATAGGATACCTTAGAGTTCAAGATTAAATATTAAGATAAAGATCAGGTTATGTCCCCTCCAAGCTGCATTATCTTCTAAAACACTTTGGATTCTGTCATCTGTTTTATTCATCCATTTAGTAAAGCTGTAACATTACAGTCAGAATAACTGAACTAGTCATTATATGAACAATATATTCTAAAGGACTATGATCTGTGAATCACCATATACAGAACTGTTTTTCTTTATGGAATATAGTTCCTTTTAAGGATTTTCCAGTGTGTTTGGCTGAGAAAAGGCTGTCAGCAGCTCTCTGAGTGTGAGTGCAGGTATAAAAACACTTTTCTATCCATTATATCTGTGTGGAAACTGAGTTTGTCCTTTACTGCTGTGAAGGTCAGTTTAGCTGTTGTTTTTGGCTCAATTCTCCACGTATAGTATTACTGTTGATACCTTTAGTATTATATGTTTTCTATGTGTTGGTATGGATATACTGTATGTGTGGACTGATAGAAGATCCACCATATTCTGTAATGAGATGTTATCGAGTGAACTGACTGCCATAGAAAACCACCATGAAGTTGAGGTGCACCTGCACACCATATTTGACATTATGGGGCCATGGGAGTATTTGCATGTAGGTGTGGCTGCAGCCCGGCTCACCCTTGAGTGTTAACCGTTTTTTTTAAACAGCATAAAAATGTAGAATCATTTAAATGTAGAAATTAGGTTCTAATGGTGAGCCATTATTGGATCCAATTAGTTAATGGGTTTATTTCTGAAGTCTCCCAGTGAAGATGGATGTCTCTTTCCTATGAGATTTTAAGCCATTAAACCAAAGATTCTGACATTCTCCAATTGACAATGAAGACTTTTGGCTCCAGAGAGAGCAATTATATCAGTCAGGCTTGATAGCTTTGTCCTCCAACTAGCTAAATTAAATTCACAGACTCTATCATGCAAGCTAAAAACCCTGGAGGACCTTGTGGTGGCTCCATGCAATTTACATCTGTCTCCCACTATGCATCCCACACCTCCATGTGTATATGTATCTGGGGTGTTAGCATATTCTTCAAATAATGAGGACTTTCTGTTTATATGTAGACATTTTTTTTGTCAATCCCAATTTCATTTGCGTATGTTACAGTGTATGTCGAGAGTTCAGGTCGCCAGCACAACAATGAACCAAATAACTCTCGGTTTTTTTCATCAACAGCTACCTCAACTCTGAACTCCCAGCTCCAACACCTGCAGCAGCTCCAGCAGATGCAGCAGCACCACCACCACCAGCAGCAGCAGCAGCAGCAGCAGCAGCAGCAGCAGCAACAACAACAACAGCAACAGATCCAACAGATCCAACACCATCACCAACAGACCCTCTCCCACAGCCACAACGCGCTGCAATCCCAGCATCACATGACCCCGCCCAGCCAGCAGCAGACCTCCATCCCTTCTCCGGGCTCCACCTGCTCCTCCACTTCTGGACACCAGCAGCACTCCCCACCCCACCGGCCCAACCACTCCCCGGCCCGCAGCCTTCCTTCGCCCGTCACCCCACCCATGCCTCTGTCGGTGAGTTCATAACCTGCACCAATCCAACTCTTACTGATACCTACGTTTGTGAAAAGGCCTCATGGTGTTTTGGTCTATTAGTTTTTATATTTTTTGGTAAAAAAATGGTTTCTCTCACTGCAACTGATTGATCATATTTATTTGTGTAAAGTAACATGAGGTTAAAGATACATAATGCCTCTAAGCTATCATTTGAAATGGTCATACACCAACCTCTTCAAGTTGTATTTTGTATTACTTCATAAAAGAAAAAACTATAAGTGTAGATTGCTACTTCTGACATATACCGGATTATATTACTCTAATATGTTATCTGGTATCAACAATACTGATCCACTATGTTAAGGCTTAATTGTATTCATATTCACTAGTTATTGGTCTTAATACTTATTATGGCTATAGATACAGTGATACGAGACTACATATCTTTTTAGATTTTTAAATACTTTCATATGGCATAAGTGTTTCCGAGTTTTAAAGGCTACATTACCCTTAAAGTTTACTACCCTAATGCTTGCTATTGTACACTACACAGATTAAAGGCTCCAAGAAGTGATCAGTTTAATTTACCCCATTCATGTCATTTTCCATTAAAAGTGAACGGAGTACATACAGAATACTAAGCTAATTAATTTATAGTAAACTAGATTTGTAATTCCTGTAAATCTCCTCTTAAAAAAACAAAGTGCTGCTTAAGCAGTTTACTATACACTTGATTCTCTGTCAGCACTTGATCCTAATCAAGAGGCAGCTTTGGAATGGAGGCTGTCAATGTGGAGCTATTATGCATCTTGTTGCTGAAGCCTTGACGCATTTGATCACATCCAACCACACGAGGCACGACTCGCTCGGGAGGAATTCTGAGGTGATCTAAGCTTAATAATCAGTCCCTTAATCTTCGCTGCTCTTCCTACTCAACCTCCTTTTTAGTCACCGTGTACGTCCATCTATCTCTGCTGCTCTGTCCGTCTGGCTGTCAGTGTGTGACGATAATAACCTATTTTATATCCCTGTGGTTTCATTTCTGGTGGAGACTGGCCAGGGTCGCCTTTCTGTCCCTGGTCACATTCATCAGCGTCAGACCCTTATTGGGTTGTGGTGCAACCTTCTTTATGACCAGGATGAGTTGGGCTATTTGTTTCCCCCTCGCAGCCCTCTCCGGTCCTGTCACGGCCTAGTGAGACTCAGCAGGAAAAACAGCCTCTGGATTTAATGGGCTCCCGCTACATCGCACCAAACACACTGTCCAGTCTGACTGTGGATACTGACCAACATACCGATTCACACATTACGCCTGCATCAGGCAATGTACAAAGACCTTGGATAAGAGATGCACTACAAATAGACTACTAATACATCTCTAATTTAACTTTGTTACATTTCCTGGAATCTGTGAAAATGTCTCTGTGACTCACAAAGACAGCAGGGGTGCTCTAGCTCTCTGCAATAACAACACTGAGACCCTTAGCTTTAAACAGATTGTCTTCTTCTAAAAGTAGCACGGAGGCTGATTATGATGACTGAGGACAGAGCTCCCTGAGGGGGGCAAAGAGGCCACATCAGGTATCATTAAGATATTGGCTCATCAAATAGGATTATGGAATGTGTGTGTGTGTGTGTGTGTGTGTGTGTGTGTGTGTGTGTGTGTGTGTGTGTGTGTGTGTGTGTGTGTGTGTGTGTGTGTGTGTGTGTGTGTGTGTGTGTGTGTGTGGGTGTGTGTGTGTGTGTGTGTGTGTGTGTGTGTGTGTGTGTGTGTGTGTGTGTGTGTGTGTGTGTGTGTGTGTGTGTGTGTGTGTGTGTGTGTGTGTGTGGTGTGTGTGTGTGTGTGTGTGTGTGTGTGTGTGTGTGTGTGTGTGTGTGTGTGTGTGTGTGTGTGTGTGTGTGTGGCAAGGAGAAGAATGGCCGTAAAAGGTTTAGTTTCTCTGGGTCAGTGCTGGTGTTTTCAAAGAGTGTGTCACCCAGCGAGGGGCTCGCCCAAGGACAGGTCGCAGCCACAGCACCCACTCAAGGCTGCAATAGGATTTAAACAGCGGCTCCGCCCCTCTCCACCGTCTGGGACAGTGATTGGATTTTCAGACTCAGAGTCACTGAGCGACTAACAGGTTAATTCTCTTTTTACGTTTTTAATTCTGGGAGAAAAGAGATTGTGTCACAAACTTGTGAATTGTCACCATGATCTTCCTTTTTTTAAATTATAAGTGAAGACATAAGGACATTCCTGGTGTTTCCATGCTTCACCCTGAGTTGATTACCATAATATAATCAGCATTAAACAGATAGCACCCATATTTCCTATTTGTATTATTCACACGTGCAGAGTCACTCAGCCAGAATCCTACAGCACAGAGCTGCTGAGAAACAAACACTCATTATGTTCCAATTAATGTCCCATTGTAATTATCTTCTCATGGGAGGTGTGATCTTCTTCGTCAAGCCAAAGTGAGGAAATCCTGAGCATTCATTACATCCCTCGTGTTTTTAGTGTTTTAAATTTGTGGAACATAATTCATTAATAGGCTCATAAATATCCCGATTATACAAATACAAATCACACCCCAACAGACCCCTTGAGTCAGTGGTGTGAACTCAAATTAAATCTGCTAATTTGGTTAAGCAGAGTAAGAATGTACCTTTGCACCCCGCCCTCTCTGCTCCCCATGCAGAGTACAGTAAGATGCGGCCCGTTGGCTGCCTGGAATAGCCACCACAGTGATGACAAATAGACGGGGGGAGATTATGAAATTTCCTTAAGTGTGTTAATGGGCTGATTGCGGGAGCCCGCTGGATTTTGCTGGAAGTTGATTGATTAGAGCTGCGGGTTTTCTCCACGCCCGGAGAGCTCAGGGATTTGACGGGGTAAAGGCGCTCGCCAAGTCTGTTACACCGGAATTGATCTTAATTAGATCTGAAAGACCTGCCACAGCAGAATGGTCGCGGCGATTAAAATGAAAAACAGGAGAAATTACTGATCAAATTAATCATAATGTCGGGCTACAGCTGTAGGTCTGGTGTAATTTGCCACTCCAGTGAGTTACATCAGCCCAGGCAGGGAGAGGAGAGGTAGTACATACTGATCCGTGGCAGCGGGAAGCTTAGGCCAGCCTATCAACTCTCTTATTCCAGTTCCTGAGCCCCGGACCCACATGACCCTGCTGCGCCATCCAGTGGATCCCCCACATCTCTCCCTGGCTCTGATACAATTGCTCCTTCTTCCCTTTTAGCCAAATCCGTCTACATTATGTCTTTCTTCATTGGAGAGCAACGCTGCTGCTCTTGTCACGGCCGTCCTGTCACCGGCATGTTGTGTGTTAGCTAATAGCCTCTGACCTTGGTCCAGTGTCTGGCTGGCTGGTTGTTGGGGGGGGGGGGGGTGTCTCATGGCAGGGAGATGGAGGAGTCCTTCTTTCCTCCTCTGTCAGACTCCTGCCGTCTGTCTGCGCGTCTGTCTCTACTCCTCTCCGCAGCCGTCTCCTTGATCGCTGTCAGAGCCCCACACTGGGCCTGTCCACTCTCCATCCGCACACTCATAGGGGTAATTACAGCCTAGGGGCTTGCCTCCCATCCCCGTGCTCCACAATTTACCACCAAAGCGTCCACAGACATCTCTCTCCTTCCCCACTGCACCCCGACATCACAGGACCGCGGGGCCTCAGACCCACAAGTGCTGCAATTACCTGAGCCTCCCCTCTATCCTTTTCTCTCTCTCCGTCTATTCTCTCTCCTCTCCCCTCTCTACACCTTGGCTCCCTCACTATTCCCTGGCAATCAGCCTTCATTAGAAGCCTCTGGTGAAAACCCATCGTCACCAAGGTCAGCGACTGCCAACCACAGCGGCCTTTCAGAGGCTGGGCTGTCAGCACTCTCCATCTCTTCTCACCTCCTTGCCATTCTCTCCACCTCCTCCTCCTCCCATTCACTCCACCATCCAACTCGAGTCCTGGGCCCATCTCTGACGCTTTTGTCTCCAGCTGAGGCCCCTTCAGACACTCATGTCATTGTTTTCCACTGCAGTGCACTTTTACTTATGTCACCCGCTGTTAAAATCACCACTGTCCAATTTGCTCAAAATGTCTCTTTTTGTATGGCCCGTCTCAGCCATTATATTAACATGTGTATTAAATGAGCCCTGCACATCGATTAATTGATTTTCCAGATCAGCACCACGTCTATTCAATTTAGCGAAACAGGCTTCCATCATTTCATGGGGTATTAAATCCAAATTAAAATGACATGCTCAAATGTAGACCCAATGGCTCACAGTGAGGCTTGTCGATGAAACTGGCAATGCTTAAGTTGGGAAAATAGTCCATTATCTATCAAACATCTCATGACTCAACTGTGGTTCCTGTTGTATGAAAAAAAAAAGCTCACGGAGGATATTAATAGAATTGTACAGATATTTTACATATTGTTTCTTGCAATAAATACCATATGCATATAATTGAGAGCTAATTTGTTATTTTAATTGTAATCAAATGTATTTGATAATGAGGGTGCTGAAGTCATGTGCTCCTAAATGTATTAAGTATTTCTCCAAGTCTCAAAAAAGTGTCTTAGGGGGTTGGGGTTGTGCCATAGAAATCAAAGTATTTCCTCAAATGTTGTATCTTACGTTTAACATTTATATTAAGGCAAAGTTGCAAAAAATCTTACATTTGAGCTGTATGAAGTCTCTCATTTGGACATTATCTATGACAACTGTTTAAAAGTCCCATTTTTTATAATAAAGTATAAATGGTATGTGTTGCCAGACTGCTGCTGGTTGTGGCAGTGTGGTTCAGAGCGTGAGCAGGCCCTCAGCTCTCCAGCAGCTCAGCCTCTTATTAATGCACAGGAGATCCGGCTCTTAAGAAGGCAGAAAATTGCCTTACATAACAAGCGCTCCACAATTTAGAAATACAAATGTGCACTGTTGACTGAAGCAGAAAATAAGACTGTTGCCCATCAACAGAACCACATTTCATATGAATAATTATAAAGCATGGGCGCTAGATGAGGAA